GTCAACAAATCGAGCTATTCATGATCGACAAAATTACTTCCTTGTAATATCTCCACTTGAAGAGGAAGTTTGCGTAGCAAGCATCTTAAACTATTTTCTCAATGTTTGAATCTCTATTCTCGAGCGAACCAACTCATGTTCTTGGGAACTAATTGTATCTTTCAACTCTTCAACTCCTTGCATTAGCATAGAAATGACAAACTGAGGATCAAATGCCTAAGCACCTGAATCATTCAAAACAATCACCAGATCATTGTTTATGTCTCCCACATAATTGTCCTCAGAAGTCTCTCGAGAACCAACTTGGGGAACACACGGCACTTCCCATTCACTATTGGGCTCACCAGCATTATCCAATAAAAAGGTTTTGACTTGAGAAATCTACTTCCATTTCTCTTGGGTATTTATTTGCATTTAAAGCTTTTTAACATACTTTTCATCCAATAAAAATTAAATTTATTTGCATAAAAAATCTTTATTTGTGATCCTCGGGCGGGCTTGTGTGATGCACATGCCAGCTTTGTCGTTAAATTTTTTATGTTTTTAATTTTATTTTACTTTTTTCCCTATTTTGTAAATTGAAATATCTTCTTAACAAAAAATCTCACATATTTAATAAAGGTCTTTGTTTTTTTTGCAAGACAAGCATCAGTCAATTAGGATACTAATAGCTTTTAATGTAAAATATGAATAGTAAAAGGGTTAATATTTTACATTTACTATTTATCTGTAATTATTTGTGATTACTCTATCTTTTTTTTTATATAAACATTAAGGCTAGGCTGGCTTTCAGGTCCCTTCTTACTTAAAAAAACTCAAGAGATATACCCAGAAGGTAAGTTTTTGAGCAAGGCAGTGTTGTATAATATAATGCACCCAAGGGGTCTACCCAAGGGATGGACATATATATTATATAGTTCCCTTGTTCCATCCCACCCGATGATTTTTATTAAATTCCAAAAAGAAAAGTGGCAGAGTATGAACTAACCACTATTACATCAAGCAACCCTGTGCCTAAAATAAGGAAAGGAAAGTTGATCTAAAATCAACAATCCTTTAACATCTCTTGGCAATGAATTCATAGAAGAAAAACTTGCGAATCTCTTGGAGCAGCCATTTTTGCAAGTCCATCAGCAACTGAATTTGCTTCTCTAAAGATATGAGTTATTGTAAACCCATTCCCTTGTAGCAATGCTTGAATCTCTTGCATATACAAGAGATATTTCCAAGGAAAGCCCATTCTCCCAATGAAAGCCTCAGACAAAACTTTGTTGTCCGTTTGCACCTCCACACTATGAAGATTCAGCTACACACATTTCCTCAATCCAAACAGTACCCCAAGCGTTTCAGCAAGAAAACTATCCCCGCCACCCAAGTAGCCACATTCTCCATATAAGAAAGCTCCCATTGAACCTCTAATAGCAAAACCATATCTCGCATCCGCCAAACATGAGGAGCCATCCAAGTTAAGAACAAAAGAATTTGGAGGCGGAGGATTCCAAGCAACCCGAAATACTTTAGCTCGCAAATAATTCCGAAGATCCACTTGAAATTCATTTACAAAAAATATCTTTTCCCTCTCATGCCTAAGCTTCAAGTTATGGATAGTCATCAAGCAACGAACTTGGTCTTTAACTGCATTAAGGACCCTAGCTACGTTGGGTTGAATCCCTTCAAAGATAACCTTATTCCGACATTTCCAAATCTCCCAAATGAGCAAAGAAGGTAACAATTTCCTTAGCATCCCAAAGGCCGATTTAAAATCACTTCCCTCCCACCATAAACCGACCATGGTTGCTATTGAATGAACACCACTAATATTGATGCTCATGATAGCCGAAAAATAAGCCCAAACCCTCTTAGCAAAGTCGCAGCCATGGAAGGTATTTCTAATGCCATCATCTCCATTTTGACACAAAAAACAAATTGTTGGAAGCACTTGTATACCCATTCTACTTATGACTTCAGGAAAAGGTAGAATGTTATTTCTCAACTTCCATAAGAAAATAGAGATTTTCAAAGGAGTTACCTTGTTCCATACATTGTGCGACCAGCCCTCTTCTTCATGTCTTCGATGAAGATATTCGTAAGCCGACTTCACCGTCAAATTCCCTTGTGAAGTATGTTGCCAAACCAACAAATCATCACCATCACTGAAATCTTGATCATAGTCTTCACGAAAATTCAGTATATCATTTGAGAGTACATTTCCCAACATCCCAACATAGGAAGAATCTCTTGCTTGCACTGAAAAAACTCCAAAATACTTAGTTTAGGCATAGGTGGCTGCAACCCTTCTACATCCCAAAGGATTCCAAAAGGAGACCAATTATCACTCCAAAAGGAGCGATTACCTCGTCGGATTATGACTTTAGTATGAACCACTGCCCATGCCTCTATTTTAGAGACACGAAGCCAGGAGGTTTTCCTCTTTGATGACATTGATAATGAGTGAATAACCCGACTCCATATGCCCCTTTGATGCTTCAATTTCCACCAGAGTATAACTGTAAGTGCATCAATAATCCCTTGAAAGCTTCGAACCCCTAGATCATTTTCTGAATAAGGAAAAGCAATCCTCTCCCAAGACTGCCAATGCCTCCTTTTTTCCTCACTCCTTCCACTCCAAAAAAAATTTGACACCTTTGTTCTATGTCTCGGATTATAGCTTTAGGAGGTGGTATTGCAGAAAAAACATGAATCGGAATGGAGGACAGAACATGCTTTATAAGAACAAGTCGCCCTCCATGAGATAGTAATTTATTCTTCCAACTCAATAACTTTCTATCAATATTATCCAAAAGAAATTGAATGGTAGATGACTTACACCTCCCGGGAAAGAGCTTACATCCAAGATATGTAAAGGGGAAAGACTCTTTTTGAATACCAAGGACTCTCTAAATTATAGAAACCCTCTGTGCACCACAATTATCCGAGACCATAAAATTACTTTTTTGGCGGTTGATATTTTGACCTAAAGCCTTTTCATAATCCAGAAAGAATGCATTTAAATTCTATAAGGATCGCTTCAATCCTGTAGAGAAAATTGCGAATGCCAAGTGCGATACACCCAAAGAACCGGCGGGAGTTCCATAATGTGCAACCCTCCCTTCCTCAACCAAAGACTTTTGGATCTGTGATTACTCTATCTAAATTACCTATTATTAATTTACATCATTAGCATATTTTACAAAGTTACCTCACTTACCTATTAACAATTTCGCTCAACTTGTTATACAGAGTAAGTATCAAGAACGCAATGATTCCAACAATGAAAATATTTTTGATGAATAAACGTTGAACAATTCACCAAAACAATTGCAGCATATATTGAATTTTTTAGCTCCAGTACACTACCCGGCCATGTTCCCTCCTTGACAGAGGAAAACAATCCGGCAATACACTTGAATTCGTCGTCCCTCCCTAATAAACAATTCGACAAAAATTGTGCAGTAGATATTTAACTTCCCACAATATGTTAACCTTTTCATCATCTACACCAAAGAAGACACCTCAACACTTGAGTTTAGCTCTCAAGTCTTCATTGTTTTTTTATTCATTTTGTGGGCATAAAAATAAAAGAAAAAGAATTGAAATTTGGAAGACGATGAAGATGGGAAAAAAAAAAGGTGAAAGCTAAAGGGAGGTGAAGGGAAAGAATATAAATTCGGTTAGCAAGGAAGAAGATGAAGGAAAAAAAAATTAAAATGGAAAGATGAGGGTGGCTGGAAAATGGATAAAATAAGCAGAAAAAAGAGGGTTGGGCAGCGGTTGGGAAGTAGGTTGGAGTGGGTAGGCTAGGGTTCTTAATTTGGGGTTTGGATAATTATGTTATGGCCCAATAGTTTAGCTTAGTATAAAATTAAAAATACTTTTTCTCTCTCTTCGCTCTCGGCGCACCATGCTATTCTGTGCCCGCCATGGGAGGCAAGAAGAAGAAAGGAAATGGTACACAACAAGTTATCCCATCCGTTTCAGAACCTACTGATGGACTAATCAAATCAGGGGTTTTTGAGATTAGAGAAGGCTCTAAGGTTATAGCGAGTTTTAGTAAGATTTTGAAGAAAGTGTATGTTGAATTATATCGGGTGGTCGCTGAAACTGAAGGAGACTATATATCCAAAGGTGGAGTCATTGGAAATTTGTGAAAGACGAAAGATGAACTAGCTTCTAGGGTTCGATCACTATCTACCCATAGGCAGCTCGAATGGTCTGAGAAGGAAGAAAAGGTTGAACCAGCGAAGGACTGGAGTAATTTTGATGTCGAAAAGCTTAGAGCTCTGTCTGGGAAGCTACCGTACTTGCAACTCAAGGTAACTGATGGTCAGAAAATTGGACAAATGCAAGCAGAGGATGTGAAGACTGAAGCCGAATATTTGAAATCTTCTATAGTATGTTCAGTTTTGGGAGCACATCCACCAGTGTGGGTAATTGAGGCACATTTCAAGATGATATGGGGTAAGCTTGTAATTGATTGGGTAATCCTCCTTCCTAGTGGTCTTTATGTGGTTAGATTTACAACGGTAACTACTAGGGATGAGGTTCTAAGGGTAAATTACTACCATTTTAATTCTAAACCTTTGATAATTAAGCCATGGTTTGTATAGAAATGGATAAACTGTAGGGAAGTTGAAAGAGTCCCTGTGTGGATTCAATTGCAAGGATTAAAACTAAAGCATTGAGAAATAAACTCCACAGGGAGAATGGTTAGTGCAATTTGTTACCATGTCCTTGATGATGATTTCACTGTTAATAAAAGTAGAGTACAATATGCCAGGGTGTTAGTGGAGATGGAAATTAAGGATGAAGTAACTGATAAGGTGATATTTGAGGATGAATTTGGTAATGCTAGGGTCCAGAAAATACCATATGAGAGGGTTCTTGTGAAGTGTAGCAACTGTCATGGGTATGGGCATGTAGCTGATCAGTGTAGAACCTTTAATGGAAATAAGGAACAGGAACCTAAAAGAACACAGACTCTATGGAGGAAAATAGTGAAGATGAATGAATCAGAGAAAAACCTAAGGGATTCAGTAATTGTCAATGCTACTAAGGATGATCCTACAATGATTCCTCTTGATGAGGGATCTTACAAAGCGTCAAATACTAATGACAAGATACTGAACCTAAAGAAAGGTGGGGATAGTATGAAGAAGGATGGGTATGATATGATGGTAAACTCTAATGTCAAAGATACTCAGGGGGCAACTGTAGAGCTGTCTCTATCAGAGATAGCCTAGAAAGTTGCTGTTGGTGGTGTAGACGTAGAGATCCTCAATAGAAATGAGGAAATATGGGGGGAATGATAAGGGATACAGGACATGATCCCTATGAGTAGTACACTATTTTGGAATATAAGGGATTTGAACTCACCCATGAAATGAAATGAGGTTAAAAGGATGATGAAAAGACTAAAAGTGGATATGGTAAGTTTAGTAGAGACAAAAAATTAGTCAGCAAAGAGGAGAGATATATGTTCAAAAGTTTTGGAATGGATGGTAGTGGCTAAATAACCATGCTAGGAATGAAAGAGGGAGAATTATGGTTAGCTGGAATGATGCAGTGGTAGTAAAAGAATTGAAACAAAATGATTAGTTGTTGCATTGTCAGTGTTTATGCAAGTCAGATAATAGTACATTTCTATTTACGGGGATTTATGCCACCAATGAACCAGAAAATAGATCGTGTTTAGGTTTTGATTTGGTAACACTGTATAAAAGTATTCAAGTACCATGGTTGCTGTTAGATAAATTTTATAATATATTAAAGCCTAAGGAGAAGCTAGGTGGCAAGCCTGCGACGTTGCAAGACTTTGAAGCATTTCAGTACTGTCTTGAGGAATATGGGTGACAAGACCTTAGGCAGACAGGCTAAATATATACGTGGTGTAACAAAAGCGTGGGACCTGAAAGGGTGTATTCGAAACTTGATACAACCCTAGTAAATGGAGAGTGGGTCCATAAATACTCAGAGTCGTCTTTTTTAAAAAAAAAAAAATTCACCCCAGTGGACTCCACTGAAAGCAGTGCAAGAAGGGTTAATGTTGATCGAGACAATGTTGACGTACAACAAAAGGAGAGTGAAGCATATGAAAATTATGTGGAATCCAGAAAGGAAGTAAACAGCTTTCTATAAAAGAAAGCTAAGGAAAGGTGGATTGCAGCGGGTGATGACAACACCAGATACTTCCATTCAATTCTGAAAATTAAAACAATGAAGAATCGAATATGGACAAATCTTGATGAGACCAGAACTGAAATAAAGGAGCATGTGGAACAACAGGTTGGTGAACTCATAATCTACAAAAATCATAATCTAAGCTGGTAATATTTTTGGTGAACTCGGCACGCACCAAGAATAAACCATCATTCTCGTCTACTCCTGGCATCGGTCACAAAAACCTTTCACAAATCACTCTAGTCACACATATCGATGATGAACAACAGGTTAACACGCTTGGTTCCTAATACTCTTTATGCAGTGTGCTTTAGTTCTTCTCATATTTTTTCATTCAAATTAACAAAAGCTTTAAATTTTACCAAAAAAAATTAGGATATCTTAGTCAAAGTCCACGTTGAGTTCAGAGACATACCACAACCATTCTACTACATGGCTTGCAAGGAATGCGGCACTGGAACATCAGCAATCTATCAACAAGATTTCAAATGCAACAAGTGGTCATTAAAGCAATCTGCAACCAACTCAAAGTATGTCAATTTCAATTTCTTAAAATACAGTTCTGAAACATATGGAAATTTAAAAATATTATATTGACCTTTTAGCCGATTAGATGATTTCGAAATATTCCTAAATCTTACTGTTGTTATTCTAGGTGTCGTCTAAGAGCTAACATTCATGACGAGAGCGGATCAATCCAAGCTAGCATTTTCAGTAGCATCGCAGAAAAGATATTGGGTTTCACTGCAACAGAAATCGTCGAGAACCCTGAAAAGGTATGCACATTCTTCGTTTCAACTATTCAAGTTCCTAAACATGCATGTTTCAAAAATCCAATGTTTCCTTCCTTTATATATGTATTTATAAATGGCACGTCCTTAATATCTTATTTGTTTTTTTTTAACAGATAAACCTTAAAGAAATACATGAGTTGTTAGAAAAAAAAAACTTTCTATTGCAGCTGAGAGGATCAAAAAGAATGTACAGGGGGCTTCGAGATTACTATGTCAACAATTTAATTGAGGATGACAGTTCTTTTGTGACGCCATTGCTGATAACCAAATCGCAGATGAAGTACCTGAGGACAACAACACTGAAATTCCGCCGATCAAACAAATAAGCGACCAACATGAGGTCAGTTTGACACTGAATTTATACCTCTTTTTTTCCTCTGCATATCTCAAATATATTTTTTTAGTTTAATTCCCATCATATTAAACATAAACATTAATGTTTCTTTTTGTTATAAACATACATGAAATATTTATAACATTTAATATTCCCCGATTACACATTACTAAGTCCAACAGAGAAATATGTTTTTCTAAATATTATTAATTGCGATTTATATTACACAAGTATTAGTCTGGTTGCGCAACGCGTGACACCAAAAGACTAGTTTATTACAATTTAACTCACGAGACTATCAATTATTTTAATACTCTTTACAATAGAAATAATTAAAATTGACATAAAATCATTAAAACCTAGAAAAAGATTTTCTCCAAACGTTATTTTTTATTCCCTAATCCAACACCTATCCCCTGGTACAACAACTTATTACCCTATTTTTTTCTCAATTAATTGACTTCAAAATAACTTTATATATAATAAATAGAACTTCACGCTTAAGTGACATATAGTCATATCTTAAATTATTGTTAAGAGATGTTAAACCCGCATAAGACTAAGTATACACATTTCCTGAAATGTTTTGTATCATCTTTGTACATGGCGGTACTCTATATCATTTCGTATTAGATTGATGTAGACGTGAATATGATTATTTATCTTTTGTCTGTGTGCTTCGTTTTTGTTGTTATTTATGGTAAATAAATATTTTCATAATTATTCTTAAAAAGTTAATCCCATAAACATGAAATGAACATATGAAGAAAATTATATTCATTTTCGGGATTATAATATGGAAACCATACCTGAACAAAATGGTATTTTTGAAGGATTTCAAAAAGGGTATCGCCCCGGATTAAAAAAATCGGGGTCCTCTAATGAGGGTCGAGACCACCAAAACAAACCTACTTAAAACTTGTAGCAAGTGATAAGAAGGGTCGATCCCATAGAGATGGGAAACACTTAATGAAAATTAGGATCTAGTATCAAAACACAAGACAGAAGTAAAAACAACAGATTGGCAAGTGAATAAGTTACTTGGCAAAGTGATGGCACCCTAGGGTCGTCCTCCACTCTACTCTATATACATATGTATTGATTCTTTCAGCTCTCTATGTGGTATGAATCTGTATTCAATCGGGCACATAAACACTGTAAAGGCACTTCCGATTGTTCCAAACAGCAGTCCTAGTAGTAACCAGAAAACTAACTTCTGTTGTCGACTCAAAATTACTACTAAGCCATTAAGATCTTAAGCTCTTATGATTGCCTCGTGCCAAACAACTAACTTCCGTTGTTGTTTGAAACCTTGGGCTGTTACCTCTCGTCACCGGTTAATTCTAGACGTTCTAAGTGAAGTTTACCCTTCCGAAATTTCCCCCAGATGCATGCACAATTAGCTTGAATGCCATGTTCAACCTAAAAAGATAATTTAAACTCTAGAACTAAGCATACAAATACCATCTGAGAGAATGGATCAAAACATAATTATATAGAGTAGAGGGATTAGATCCTAGCAATGAGTTTAGCTACTCATGGAGTGAAGCTCAAACACCACCAAGTTAAGATGTTGAGACTTCATCCTGATTACAACAGAAAGGAGAGAAAACAAGGGAAGAGTAAAGTCAGAGAGTGTGGTTAAGTGCAGTTGACTTCGCAGAGTCAGCTTTTCACTTCCCCAAGTGACACCCCTGAGTTTACCTCCCATACTTATACTCTGGTTTCTTCCTACTGAGCTACACTACAATCTACTTCTAAGTTGTATTCTGGACTTCGATGTCTTCGTCTTCGTGCTGCTACTGCCTTTTATAGAGGTTGAGGGACAGATCTTACTTAGCCAAGTTGGTCTCCTCATTACCCGATGGGTTTTATGCAAAAGAGAGGAGACCCATACTTCTCCCAACTGCCTCCTTACCTCTAATCAGAATTAGGAGAGATTTAGATGATGATTTCAACTTTTAGGCACATCAATCTTCTCCCAATGTCAGCAGCATCACTTCACCAACGGCTCTCCTTCCTTAGATTCGAAGGATTGCTCCAATTTGGCCTTCTTCCTGACGAAATTCTTCCTCTTCTCAGCCCTTGTACATTGGTCCCTGCAGTAACTTCCAATCTGGCCCGAAATTTCACCAATTTACCACATTTTGCCCAATGCCCACATTGCATTTCGGTCCCTGGACAACCACAAGTCACCAAATTAGCCTATAACTATATAAACCTAACCTAATTGACCTATAATTAAAGCATAAAGAGGTAAATTGTATGCTTAAAAACATAGTATGAAATGCACTCATCAACTCCCCCCAAACTTGAAAAGTTTTTTGTCCTCAAGCAAACAAAACATCTACCCCCCATACAGACTGAAAAACATAAAATGCAACAAATGAAACAGTAAAATTTTTGTCTTAGGAATTGATCTCATCACAGGCTGATGCAGAAGTTCAGAACCACTTAAGCAGGTTAGAAACTCACTTTCCCAAGCGCATGGATGACAGTCACAGAACAAAGGGTTGAATTCTATTCTTAAGTTAAATTGAGTTAAGCACAGTGGACATTCCTAGATCTGTACCTCTTTCCATCAAGTCTATAAATAGGGTATTCTAATTGGAATTTCGACTAAGGGCTTCCTCGTTGTTCGGCAAGCACATTGGCTGCATCATTCACCCTAATACCCCTTTCCTTCTGTCCATATTGCCTTTGCTTCTGGATCTTTCCCACTCAGGCCTTATGCAAGCACATTTTTTCAGCACTATTTCGGATTCTAAATATTTGTATCTTTCACCTCATCAGGCCTGAGGACACTCCTCTCTTTGGTTGTCATGCCTCACCTCTCAAGGATTTATAGTGCCTTATTAGACACTCTGCCTATACTCCGTCAATTAGCTAAACAGAAAACCTCAGATTAATCCGCCTATTTCCCCTTTTCCCTAGGTATTTTTGGCTATTTCAAACCACTATGGGCCCGAATTGAGGCTACATAATGCGTAGGATTTGCCTTAATTTCTATCCAAGTTTACAATCTCCCCAGGTTAACAAACAAGTGAGCTCCAATACAGATCACAGCAATGCAAGAAAGTTTTCAATTTTAAGCATTTTAAGTCTAACACACTTTATCAAGTGAATTTGTAATATGAAGAAGTGGAAGAAAGTTCTGAGATGATTAAGATAGTTTTAAACAAGTGTTCAGACAAATTTTGAGATTCAATTTGTTTTCATCATTGACAATTGACTATCTACTTAGCATGCATTTTCTACTTTCCTAGACACAGAAAGACAGAAGACTGACTGGATCACAGAGAGGGACACTGAAATAAAACAACAGAAGAAAAACAGAAAAATAGGTCACGTTCCTAAAAAAAGACTCAAACAGACAGAAAAAGTAGAGACAGAGTGACACAGAGACATAGACTAACTCCTAAACATGATTGATTCTCTTCACACCCTCCCCCAAACTTAAAATCCAGCATTGCCCTCAATGTTGAGTAAAAAGACAATGGAAGAGGAGATGAAGAGAAGCAATAGACACACAGAAATAGAAAAAATGCAAATAAAAAAAAGAAAGAGAAAAAGGAACTAAGGACTCCCCTGGTGACTCTATGGGTTCATCCCATCAAAGGGATGAGGTGGTGGCTCTTGTGGAATTTTGCAATCACTGTTGCATCCCATCTTCTCATGGAGATGTTGGATCATTTCTTCTTGTCTTATAGCCAAGCGATGGATGTAATTCGTTACGTACTTGTGCTATTTTGTAAAGTGCTTCTTCCTGATCCCAGTGATTTTTGGTGGCTCCTCATGTGTTGGCGGGTCTCTAGCCAGCCCCTTCAAACTCCATGGGCATTTGCCTTGGCACAAAGCATCGTTACCAAGACAAGGAAATACCAACTCCGTACTGCAGAATCTGTAATGCACCTGGTCATTTGATCACGAATGACTATCACCACATCAAAGGTGGAAGTCACAATAGCATATATGAGCAGAGCATGCTCATATGTGACTACTTGGCTCAAATTGGTCGGCATGACAGAGCTGGTGATGAATTTCAGCCTCACCTTGTTCTCAGGCTTCAACCAAGTGTACAAGAATGATTCAGGGGCTCCCTCCTTTCCCAAAGTCCATTCGAGGTCATCAAGATCCTCACATAATTCGTTCAAGATTATCTTAGATAGATTACAATTGGGATGGAGGTTCTGCAGAGCTTTCTCATAGTATGTTTCTATGATTCGCAGCCCCAAGATATCCCTTATTGTAGCAATGGAGATGTTCACATCTTCCCCTGACATAAACCACATCATCCGTTGCAGAAACCAGATTGCGATAAAATTCTTTCAGCACTTGCAATCTAGGTTTTATTGTAGGATTGCAAAGTTTTGTCCAGTTGTGCAGGAGGATGTACATCTGCGGGGAATCCTCTGAAATCCCTGTCTCCACAATGAATTTGTGGTTCCTGTGATTGGTGAAGAAGTTCCAAGCTTCATCAGTACCATATAGATAAGGGTCTCTTTTGGCCTAAAGGGCTGCCTCTGCTGCCTCCCTTTGTGTTCTGGAAGGTTGCTTAGGCTTGGCAATCGGTTCCTGTGCCACACTCATCCCCAAGTGCCTGTTAGTTACCCTTTTTCTGGCGCTCTGCTTCTTGTTCACCATGGCTGTCTGGAAAGGGTTAGATCGTTCTTTTGGGAAAACAGATCTGAGACTCAAGGGTTGACTGATTTAGGGCTTCGAAAGGTTAGAAGACAAAAGGGCTTCTGAAGGTTTGTTGGTTGCAGGAAGAATTTTTGGAAGAGAAAGAGATTATTTCGCCGGGTAAGCCAAAAGATAGGGAATCATGGCTTTGGGGCGTGGGTTCTGCAGTTAAAGGCAACAACTCCCCACGTTTGGTCATTCAAGGCGCCGAAAGGAAGATGCCTTTCTGGCCGCCAAAACACACTTACCGAAATCAAAATTTTGCCCCCGAACTTTAAGTCAAGACCGCTTTCTGAAGTCAAAGGCCAA